CAAAGATGTGCTGCCTAAGAATGGACACATAGCAGGGACGGATGGGCAACACAGATATGAGATTGCAAGACTGGATTTAGAACGTATGGGTGCTTTCAGGGCACATAATTGAAAGTGTGTGGAGTCCTGGTGTGGTGCTGCGGGTTCATGCACTGGATTGCGAGGTCAGTTTGAACTGCAAGATTGGTGGTTCAAGCTCACCAGTCGCTTCTTAGAAACCCTATACAGGGTTGTTATGGGTCGGAACCGACTCAATGGCACTTAACAATTTCAAGTGCACAGTCTGTTCCGCTTTTTACAAGATACTCATAGCGTCCTAACAGAGCATGGTTTTCTTGTCATCTATTAAAAATGTTTTCTCAGTCATGTGTGTCCGTGGGCTGCACTGTGAAGATTTACTGATAGTACCACACATCAAGACCTCTCGGGCAGAAGCTACTACGTCTTGCATCTGTGTGACCATACAGAAGAAAGACCCTTTGAAACTAGATGTGATGCCCTGCACCTTCCGGACATCAGAGACAAGGCAAGTGTCCTAGACTGCAAGGTCTGTTTTGAACCACAGGTTGAGATTCGAGCTCACCAGTCAGAAACCACACACACGGTCTCTGTGAGTCAGAACCAACGTGATAGCATGAAACAACAAAACCTTTACCTCAGAGCTTCCTACATCCTGGAGTCCAGCTTCAAAGAAAACCCCAGGAGGATAGGATGGAACCTCTCTCGGTGCTGTTTTCCATGAAAGGGACACTTTCTCAGACCTACACAAAGCAACCTCAGTCCATGTTCAGAACCCCATTCCCTGCCCCTGGTGGAGCATGTAGAACTACATGGAAACAACAGCTCTAAAGACAGTACCCACTGCACAGTTCTGCTTGGAGTGTTTGCTGTTACAGATGCATGTATGTATGCAAATTTCTGCTGTTACATATGTACGTGGTGGTGGTGGTTGTTATGTGCCGTGGAGTCAGTTCCGACTCAGAGCGACCCTGCACAGGGTTTCCGAGGTTGTAAATCTTCATGGGAGCTGAAAGCCTCATCTTTCTCCGATGGTAGTTTCGAACAGCTGACCTTAAGGTTCGCAACCCGATTCATAACCCCTACACTCCCAGAGCTCCTGTAGATATATGTATGCATATTTCTACTGAGAATGTTTGGTGTTACGTATGCATGTATGTATATGCATTTTTGTTGCTGTTATGGGTTGGGTAGGGTTGGGTTCCCCCAACATATGTTGTAAATCCTGACCCCTGTAGTGGCTATAAACCCATTTAGGACTTGGGTTTGCTGTGTCAATAAGACAATAAGACTGTATGGTGGTGGTGGTGGTGGTGGTGTGCCCTGAAGTTGGTTCTGACTCATAGTGAACCTGTATGGGGTTTCCGAGAGCAGCTGTGAACCACCAGCTTGAGGTTGGCCTTGTAGTCCAGTGTTTATTCTACTGTGCCACATGCCGAGAGCAGCTGTGAACCACCAGCTTGAGATTGGCCTTGTAGTCCAGTGTTTATTCTACTGTGCCACATGCTGTTGTTAAGTGCCGTTGAGTTGATTCTGACCCAATACAGGGTTTCCAAGGAGCAGCTGGTGGGTTTGAACAGCTGACCTTGTGGTTCGCAGTCTAGCGCTGATCCCACAGAGCCACACCAGGAGTCCTACAGCGCCACAGAGGGAACAGTTTTGCTAATCTTGTTCCAGTTGATGGTCAGGAGGCATAGGTCTTCTACAAACCACAAGAGGGAGACAAAGAACAACAGAGGTGCCCGCAGACTCCACAGTGCTTGGTGGGTCATTTGTGAAAGAAATGAATTCCCTATAGCAGTGCATGCTACTGTGTTTGAACAACATACGCCAGTTTTAGGAGCGTTAATGTTCCCATTTAGTGTGACCAACCACAAATGTTTTGTTTGACACTGGTTCATTGTATTGGGGGTGGTGGAGGGTCTATACAACAAGAGAAAATGTAGGACCCTTTTCTCTTCTTCAGAACATAAAAAGTATCAAGTCGTCTTGGTGTGGCGCTGCGGGTTAATGAGCTGGACTGCATAGTTGGTTTGAGCCACAAGGTCGATGCTTCAAGCTTACCAGTCACTCCTTGGAAACCCTATACAGTGTCATCGTGGGGTCAGAACCGACTCAATGGCACTCAACAACAACAAAGCATTCTATGACCATTTCTTTCCCTGAAATTTATCCAATTTGCCAAGTGTTTAGGTGCTTCCAACTCTGGCTGTAATAACCCATAAGATACATGTTGTCCTGTGTCCAGTGCTCTTCGACATGACTATGGGAGTTGGATCAGCTTTAAGAATAAACAAACGATTGTTGGATACAAGCCCTGGTTTAACACCAATTTCCTCTAGGAAGCCACCAATGTCTTATTAGAGGCTTGGACCGTAAAACTAGTGTTGGAAAAGACCTAAGTCACATCCCCAAGAGATGTGTGCCTTGGATGAATGCCTTTCATCATTCAGTAAGTGTCTTCTGAGTAGCTAGGAATGCCAGCTTAGATCTGGACACTTGACGATTCTGTAGCGGTGCCTACAGCCTCGTGCAAAGAGTTGTTGGTTGCAGTAGACTCAACATGTTTACAATATAGTGGCCGAGAGTGAGGGTCCAGGATCTACTTGTCAGAGTTGAGAACATGGTTTTACGACTTACTAACTCCATGTCTCTACTTACCTCTCTACAAAATGGGTATAGTGATAGCACCCATGTTTTAGGACTTCCGTGAGAATAAATACAGGTGAAACACACTTGTAACAGTCCAAAATTTGTCCATGGTCTGCTTGACCTACACTGTCATCCTTCAGAGCGAATTTGCTCAGCAATATAGATGTGGAGGTCTTTGCTTTGATGGAAGAAGAGAAAAGCACAATGTCTGTTTACCATAACTCCTACTGACTGGGCCCTTTCCATATGTAACTAGACTAATTCATTCCCAAGACTTCTCAATGGCCACACCTTTCAACAACCCATGCAAGCTATGGCTTCTTTGTTCATGCTCCCATGAACCATGTGGCTGAGAGCAAATGCTGCAGGACCACATTACCAGGGAGTGTCACTTGTGAGGGTCTCTGGATCTCATGAGTTCAACTCATACTGGTCTAAGTGAAGTACAAAGTGTCCTCCGCAGAACCGGGGAGCTGTCTGTCTGTCTGTTATTCCTTAGTGTTGGCAGCCTGCTCTCAATCATAACCGGACTTTCCCTGGAGAGGTCAGTCCTGTTGGGTTTGAATTCTAAACCTCAACATAAGGTCTCTGTTATTTCTGTAACAGAGAGTTGCTTTAGGGCCACTAAGTAACCAGGAGCAAAAACCCAAAGTAGAGCGGCTCTTCTTGTTGCTCAATTCTCCCTTTCCACCCATAAGCTCAACAAACAGAACTGGGTTTCTTCAGATTAGTCTTCAGGCTACTCTTCATCAAAGGACAATGAATCCAAGCAGGTTTGTTGGAAGGTTTTTAAAAAATGCATGTAGGGGACTCTTCTCACCGAGTTCTAAGATGGGAAGAACCCACCAAGCTGCTCCATTGGGCTGACTCTGGGTTGAGCCCTTGATCAAAGCTGGGCCAGCAGACTAAGATCTTAGTTGATCACCAAAGTAGGAGCTTTTTCTCTTCATCTGCCTGGATGTCTACTCACCCAGAAACTCTTCTCTATTTCTACTGATGGAAACTAGCCACATTATGATTCCAAGGAGATGGGAGGAGCCAGGAGTCTGCTGGTGCTGAGGGCAAAAGGCTTATGGCCCCATAACATGGCAAAAGGCTTATGGCCCCATAACATGGATGGGCTAACATGGCCTTTCTCTATGATGACACAAAAGTGCTGGACGACAGAGCTGACCCAATAGTGTTGTAGTGCATGGTTTGAATTTGCACCATTGTTCCTTGGATTTGTTGACACTTGAGAATCTTCCAGAGGAGAAAGAAAGGGCGCAGGATGAGCTAGGGAACCAACCACTCTTCTTACTGATGCCAGGTCTGGGGATAATACTGACGTTCTCTCAATTGGTTTACAGAAGGCACGGAACACTTAGGAGACCAATTAGCTAACCGTTGCTCCAAAACAAAGACAAGAAGGCGAGGGGACAGGGAAACTAGAGCACTGAAAATGGCACAACCAGAATAGAATGAATGGCAATAATGATTTTGTGGAAAATGTAATCAATTTTTTCACTGGAGAATTTGTGTAGAAATGTAAAGTAGAGGGTCAGCCAAAAAGAAGAGGAAGACCACCCAATGAGATGGATTGGAACAGTGGCAGCAGCAATGGGCTCAAGCGTCACAACAATTGTGAGGAGGGTTCAGGAAGGGGCAGTGTTTTGGGGCTCAAGGTCGCTCCGAGTTAGAGCCCACTCAACAACATCTCCCAACGGACTGTGTAAAATTAATCTTAAATACAACAAAATCTTATCTTTTAAACAGCAAAAGAATAAAAAGATGGAAAGGACTAAATACTGTGCTTGAGGTGTTTGAATCTTTAGGATATCCCAGAAGTCTTTAGAGGCTGTTATGGACAAGAGCACAGAGATACAGAGGGAGTATGGGAGTTCCCAGACTCCCAAAGCTGCTCAGGACTCCCTCCACTGCACCAGCCTGTCTCTCAAGCTCTTAGGAAACTCCTCAGGTCACAGGAAACAGAAAGCATTGCTCAGGGCCAGAAGAGTGAGGGAATGATGCAAGAGTGTGACTGTAAAGGCTCCAGGGACAAGACTCCCTCCACCAAGGCTTCTGAGAGTGAACTGAGTCTGTGGCGTCTAGGATGCTAAAGGATCCAGTGGGTGTCTGATGGGTGACAGGAGTCTTACATGCAGAGAAACAGAGGACAGCGGGGAGAGGCAGGTTCCTGAGAAAGGAGGTTCTATTCCACCTTATGGTGGAATGTGTTCTTGAAGGTGAACTGAGAAGTAGAGTTCAGGTTCAAGGCACTTAGTCAACAAGGGCCGAAATGGTGGTGGAGTTGGAGGACTGGCCCCTCTGTGTCTCTGGCTGGACATCCTTCACTTTGGGGAAAGGAAATCTACTCTCATGGGGTTTTCTCGCCACTCTGGTAAGCAAGCCAGGCTGTCGGCCACTTCCTTCTGCACCGGCCAGCCCCAGGCCTTGAAGAACGGAACCAGATTCTTCTGCACTTGGTGGGAGAACTTCTTCACCCACAGGTTCATCTTGCCAGTGTTATCTCCGGGCAGGCAAGGGAGGGTCTGGTACTCAGCAAAGAGCTGGGTGAAGGGTTCCCATCCAAAGGCTTCCTGGAGCTGGGAGAGAGAGAAAAATGGGCAGCTCAAGGATCTGGTCTACCTAAGATACTCCACCTAACATGGCAGCCAAAGTGACTCCCTCCCCACCTGTGCCCCCCACACATGTTCACTAGGACACCACAGTGATGGGTAATGTCCTCTAATCATTAGCTTCACTCCCACTATCTGTCTCCATGTCCTCACAAACCACTGCACAGAAACCCAACCTCAAATCCACAACCTACCTGTTACCCACAAACCCTAAACACCCTTGGAGTAGTAGAGGGATAAATGAGAAGCTAATGTCTTAAATCTTGAGAGAGCAAGACTGTTGTACGTAGGGTCGCTGAGTTGGAAGTGACTTGACAACCTAAACAGTAATAACAGCTTCTGACAAGAAGTCCGCACACAACAAATGACAGTCATCATTATCATTTCACTTCTGAGAATCATGTTTCCAAGTGGTTTCCTAAGTAGCACGGCAGGTTTAGAGCCTGGATGACCCAAAAACCCTTACAATTTCCATACTGGGCATATTGGGACCTCAAAACCCTCACACCTTACATATCGGGCATATACGGACCCCCAAACCCTCACATCTTACATATTGGGCATATTGGAACCTCAATACCCTCGCATCTTACATATACTGGGACTCCAAAAGCTGGGGACTGTCAACACTTCTACACATAATAAAATTCTTCGTCTTTTATCACTACCATTGATCTGTTGTTGAGGACCATGCAGTCTGCTCCAACTACTCATAGAGTCCCTGTATTGAGCTTGGACCGCCGACCTTGCGGTTCAAACCTCCTTTGCAGTCCAGTGCATTAACCTGCGGCACCACACCAGGACTCCCAACTGCCCACAGACACTATTATTATAAAGTGATGTCATTCTCACTTGACTCATAAGCTGATATTAAGAAAAAACAGAATTAACCGCCCCCAACAGCCATTTCTGTTAGGGGACAAGTTCACATCAGTGAATGACAGAGCTGTGCCTGCCTCAATCCTACGGGGTGTTCACTCAGAGTCCCTGTTCTTGACCTCACTCTGTATTTGTTCCTATTACACTTCATAGAACTCTGCATTTCCTCGTACTCATCATCTCAAAAACATGGCAAGGTGAGTGGGACTTAGCGGAGTATAACCTGAGAGGCACCTGGTGGTAAAGGAGTTAAAAGGCACCTGGGGCCAGGAGGTGCTCCACAACGTGGGGTCTAGGGTGCCACCTCCCTCCTTCTTGTCCAGTACCTGGAGGTATGTCTCCAGGGCTGTCCACACACTCCAGTCGCATAGCGGAGCTCCTTTGCCCAGGTGTACCCTGATCCGCTTCTCCCGTTCTGAAGGCTTCAGCGCAGGGTGGGCCTGAGCTCTAGGGATGCCCAGGACTGTCTCGTGCACATAGACAGACCACAGGTTGCAGGTGGCCTCCGTGGTGTGTGGAGGGAACTCCCACCCAGACTTCTGCTGGTTGTGACCCAGCTCATGGATGGGTCCCCACAGGCCACTGCTCCTCATGCCTGCTTCATGGGTGATCTCCTGCACCGACTTCAAGTGGCACATGATAGGGTACCCAGAGTGCATCCAGCCTGGAATCCAGAAAGAAGAGGTGGGTGTGTGAGGTTCACCTGAACCTACCTTTATGTCTCCCTGTGGTGTGGCTTCGCTGCCCCATCCAGTGCCCCAGGGATTCCAGCAGCATCTTGCTGACTACCATGAATGCTCTCCTTGAGTTGGACAGGAAGTGATTGGTCCCTAGTTCTCTCCCAGCCTCCCTTACTCTCTCTCACCTGAGTTATGCCTTCTTCTCACTCTAGCCATGAACAGCATGCGCATCCTTCACTCAGTCTTTCTGGCTATAATCTAATGTTTCCTTTACTGCTGTTGTTTGTTTGTTTGTTTTACATGGACTTCTGTTCCATGTTGAAAAAGGAAGTGATCGGTGTTTGTTTGTTTTTTTTCACATGGACTTCTGTTCCATGTTGAAAAAGGAAGTGATCGGTGTTTGTTTGTTTGTTTTTACATGGACTTCTGTTCCATGTTGAAAAAGGAAGTGATCGGTAGCTGGAAAATATGGCCTTAGTGATAGAAACGATGTTGGAGATCGCATGATAAAAATTTGCAAGACTGATGACTTCTTCACTGCAAATATCTTTTATTATTATTATTATTATTTGTGTAGAGTAAAACTATTAAGTTTATTAAAACCACAGTCCTATTTTGACATCTCAAAATCTTCATTAGAGAATGACTAGACTAGTTTATTAGAGTACATTTTTGCTGGCAAACAAGATAAGCACCTAGCTAAAGTTGCTCCAAATATAAATCACAAGTAAACATGTCTTAGTTTTAAAATAGAAAAATGATTAATTTAAGATTTCAACAAGTATGTAATTGTTACTGTTGGTAAGTGCCATTGAGTTGGCCATGACTCATAGTGATCCTGCATAGGGCTTCTGAGAAGTGGCTGATGAGACTGAATCACTGACCTTGTGCTTCAAACCGACCTTGTTGTCTAGTGCATTACCCTACAACAAATATACAACATAAAAGATGACTATACACATGGACCTCACCAGATGGAATACACAGAAATCAAACTGACTACATCTGTGGAAAGAGACGATGGAAAAGCTCCATGTCATCAGTCAAAACAAGGCCAGGGACAGACCATTAGTTGCTCATATGCAAATTCAGGCTGAAGCTGAAGAAAATTAAAACAAGTGCATGAAAACCAAAATATGACCTTGATCATATCCCACCTGAATTTAGAGATCATCTGAAAAACAGACTTGACGCATTAGACACTAAAGCCCAAAGACCAGAAGAGTTGCGGGATGACATCAAGAACATCATATAGGAAGAAAGCAAAGGGTTCGTTAAGAAGACAAGAAAGAAGGAAAAAATCAAAATGGATGTCAGAAGAGACTTTGAAACTTGCTCTTCAGTATAGAGATGCTAAAGCAAATGGAAGAAGTGAGGAGGTACAAGAACTGAACAGAACATTTCAAAGGTCAGCTTGATAAGACAAAGTCAAATATAATGAAATGTGCAAAGTCCTGAATTTGGAAAACCAAAAGGGAAGAACATGCTCAGCATTTCTCAGGATGAGGGAACTGAAGAACAAATTCAAGCCCTGACTTGCAATACTGAAGCAATCTATGGGCAAATCATTGAATGATGCAGAAAGCATTGAAAGAAGATGGAAGGAATACACAGAGTTGCTGTACCAATAGGAAATGGTTGATGTTCAACCATTTCAAGGGGTAGCATATGATCAAGAGCCAATGATTCTGAAGTAAAAGGCACTGGGAATATATGGAATACAAATTGAAATCTTTCAACAAACTGATGCGAAGAATGAATATTCTGGAACACTTAATTGTGATCAGGAGGAACTTGTACATAGACCAAGAGACAGTTGTTCAAACAGAACAAGGGAATACCAAATGGTTTAAAATTATGAAAGGTGTGCACACCAGAGTTGTATTCTTTCACCATACTTATTCAACCTGTATGCTGAGCAAATAATCTGAGAAACTGGATTATATGGAAAAAAATGTGACATCAGGAGTTGAGGAAGACTCATTAACAACTTGTGATATGCAGATGATCCAACTTTGTTTCCTTAAAGCAATGGGTTCAGGCACAGTGACGACTGTGAGGTTGGCCCAGGACCGGGCAATGTTTCATTCTGTTGTGCACAGGATTGCTATGAGGTGATACGGACTTGATGGCACCTAACAACAACAACAACAACCTTCTCATGTGAGCCTGAACCATCCTGTCCTGGGTCTGGATTTGAAATTCCTTGGCAGCTAGAGCAATTCCATTTCTTCTTTGGCAATATCAACCATCATTGTCCCGATTTACACCCATAACCATGATGACTTGGGCTAGCAGTCCCACTTTATAGAGAAAACTGAGGTCCAGAGAAAACATCTCCATGTGGAATCCAGAGCGCCTTATACTTCCCTGGGTTCCCCCTGTCTTCTAAACCACTCAGTGCTTAAAATAAACCTCTTCACTTGTTTCCTCTTTCTGTTGTGTACTCTGACTTAGGTTCAAAGGAACAATTTCCTTTTTAATCCTCTCCTTGAAACCCCCTCATTGTCATCTGTGACCCAAGTGCCATTATTTAAGGTTGTTCTACCAGCCTATGAAATCTAGTCTTGCAGGTTTGAAGGATTTACCTTTTCATCCCCTGTAAACCCACACCTTTTTCTTTTCCTTTTTTTAACTTTTTACTGTGATTTAGGTGAAGGTTTACAGGTGAGTCTGTTTTCTGTGGAATCATTCACACATATTTTATTTCATGCCACTCATGGCGATCCAATAATGCCCAGCACTCACCCACTTCCTCTCTGGGCTTCCGGTTTCCATGACATTTTCGTTCCTACCCTTTCCTGCCTTTTGAATTTCATCCCTGAGCTAATGTTGCTCTTTTGATCTCAAATAGTTGATAGTTCTACAGAGTGGACACTTCCCAGTGTTACTGTCTTATACACCTGTGGATTGTTTGACTAAAATTGGAGCCTTGGGGGTAAATTCAGTCCAAGATTAACAGATGAACTTTAAGGACCATAATCTTGTGGATTCTGCCCGATTTTACCTCAGCCTAGTGTTTTAATGATTGTGAGTTTCATTTCACATTTTTCTCTCACTCTATCCAGGACTTCCTACATGATCCCTTCAGAGAGGTCGGCAGTGGTAGCGGGCACCATCTAGTTCTTTTTCTCAGTGTGGTAAGCGCATGCTTTTTATGTCGTCTTTCCCACTTTACTAGTAAGATCATGCTTTACTCATATTGGGTGTTCAAAACAGGCAAAAGAATCAACAGGGGAAGCCCAGACACCAGGGCACCTACCCGCTGAGATCTGCACATCAGCTACGATCCTCTCAGGACGGTGGAAGGGGAAGGGCTGGGCGCCCAGTCTGGCCACCGCAGCCATCATCTCGTCCCAGAGGTGCAGCAGGGGCTCAGGGTTCTCCAGGGTGCGTAGGTTAGAGGAGGGCACAGTCAGGATGATGTTGTCGGTTGCCAGCTCTCCCCAGGGCGCTGGGTTGTCCTTAATGCACCTTCTCCACTCCTCCAGTGATGTCTGACCTGGGAGTAAGCATCATGAACCCTGAGACTTCATATGTTGTGAAATGGAAGAGGGGCTCTTTCCTGAGTCTCCATGGAAACACTGTCCTATATCCATGGTTGTAGGGTGCCCTATGTCCCCTGACACTGGGTGCCCTGTATCCCACGACCCTGGGTGCCCCATCCCCTCAAACTGGGTGCCCTGTATTCCCTGACCCTGGGTGCCCTGTATTCCATGACCCTGGGTGCCCTGTATCCCCTGACCCTGGGTGCCCCAAATCCCCTAATACTGGGTGTCCTGTATCCCTTGACCCTGGGTGCCCCGTGTCTCCTGACCCTGGGTTCCCTGTATCCCTGGAAAAGGGGATTCTGTATTTCTGGACACAGGGCACTCTGTATCCCTACACACAGGGCTTCTCGTATCCGTGGACACAGGAGCTACATTTCTGCCCTGGTCCCTCCCCTCTACATCCAGCACACTCCTGATGCAGTTCCCCAGCCCCTTCCTGCCTCAGCTCAGCCCTGGTCCCCACTCACCCAGCTTGAAGTAGGGGGCTGGCCCGGCCCTTCTGAAGGTAACAGGTACCGGGCCCAGAGTGCTGCCCTTGGGCACGATGACATAGAGCAGGCCCCCCCAGAGGCAGGGGACTGAGAGCTGGGGCTGGTCCATGCAGCACTGCTGCGTCACCACGGGTGCTCGGCACAGCTTGCTGGCTTTGCTCAGGTCATCAGTGTGGCAGCCCACCTGCACCTGCAGAGTGGGGAGAAAGGGCATCCCTGGAGGTTCTGCCCGGTGGGGTGCTACGTATGTGGATAGAAGGTACCACGGGACCCTGCTTCCTGTTTCCAGGAGCCATGAGCAGAATCCTGTCAGTGCTCCAAGTCTAATAACCCATGTCCACAGGGGATCCAAACCTGAGTGTGAGGGACCAGAGGTAATAAATGTCCACAGACTTACACAGCCCCACAGGGGATCTAAATCTGAGTGTGAGGGACCAGAGGTAATAAATGTCCACAGACTTACACAGCTCCACAGGGGATCCAAATCTGAGTGTAAGGGACCAGGGGCAATAAATGTGCCCCTTCACTGGGCACTGGCCCTGGGCCCGAGCAACATGCTGGCTGAGTGGGAGTGAGCTCAGCAGAGGGGAGCCCACCTGCCCTTAGGGATGGAAGATGGGGTCTATTGTCTTCCTAGCTGGATGACTGAGCACTGTTTCTCTCTGGTCCTGGGATCATTTTTCTTAGGTTTAATGTCTGGAAAGGACGCCAACAAAGGGCCCTTGAGTGTAATTGGAAGTGTCCTGGGAATGGAGGAGGGAGGACGCTTGTCAGGGTCAGGGGCCAGGGGAGGGCAGGTTGTGTACCTCCCTTAAGGTATGGAGGAAAGGGGCTGAACTCAGACAGGCATTGTTTCACAGAGGATGGTGAGATACCGGCGATGTGTCAGCCACCTGTCCCTTCACATTGGGAGCCTCCCAGCACCCTTGTGGGTAGGGAAAATCCCTGCACATGGAAACCAGGGCCTTAGGTCTGATCCTGGGTCAGACATGAGCAGCTCCGGGGCTTTGCTCTCTGAAATTTTGCTGCTTCCACTGTAAAATCTGTAAAATGGGCAGGCTGTCTCCTTCTCACAGACAGGGTGGGGACCTTGGGTCCTGCAATTGGCTAAGGTGCTTGACTGCAAACCATAAGGTTGGCAATTGGGAGTCTGCCCAGAGGTGAAATAGTTCTGAAAACCCAGCCACTGACTGACACACCTCAGGTGGCCATGAGTTGGGGTCCGCTCCATAGTAAGGAGCTTTTGAAACCCTGGATAGCACAGCCCAAGGCTTTGGGAGATGCCACAGAGGTGCTCTGCTCTTACCTTCAGGCCAGCAGATGTGGCAGCTTCCGAGAGAGAGACTTCCACATTGTATCCTTCCGGAAGGTAGAGCCCGGTGCTTACCCAAGAGTCACCGCTGCCTGGCAAAAGTTGAGGGGAAGGCTGAGTCTCCCCCCACATGGGACAGCTTCTCCCAGCTACCTATGCTCATCCACCTGCCCTGCCTTGTCCCCCTAAATCACCTGAGGAAGAGCCAAGGGGCTCCCTGACCCTTCCCCTCCCACACACCTCTGTTGGTTCCGTTGACCTCCACAGTGATGGGGTGTTCAAGCCTGGATGGGCAGGTGCCATTTCCAAGCCCCTGGGCCAGCTGGAAGCAGTCAGTGCCCGCGTGGGCCAGCTCTGTGGCCAGGCAGAGCAGCGTGGCTTCGCGGGAGTCACTGGCCACAGGGTTGCTGGAGCTCACGGCAGGGAGGCCGGCCTGATGCAAGGTCTTCCTGAGCAGCCGGTGCAGGGAGGCGTAGGCCGGAATGCCTTTAGCAGGGATCTGCAGGAAGGCTGTAATGTCTGTGCCCAGCCTGGCCAGCCAGCCCTTTTCCATGCTCGAGGACACCTGGAAGGCTGCAAGTGCCTTGCGGAAGTGATAACTCCTCATCTTGGGGGTAGGCGTTGGGAAACAGCCCTGGTTGAGGGTCTGGGCCAAGATGCTGAGGCCCATGGGGTTGAGGATAAGGTTCCCAGGGAAGCTGGCCAGAGCGGAGTGGCCACGGTGCTGGGAGGCCCACCACCAGGACTGGCCCCCGATCAACAGCCCCCCACCCTCGGCCACAAACTCCTGAAGTGCCCGGGTCTCCTGGCCACTGTATGCAGGGCAGCAGTAGACACTCAGTTCCCTGGACACATGGGGCTCCAGGCTGCAGGCCATACCCCCTGCCGACAGCAGGGCACACAGGCCCTTCAGACTTTTGTTCACCCCAACTTTTCCTGCCTGGTCTCTGGCCAACCAGCGCACAGCGTTGAGCAGAAAGGGCCCCATCTTGGGAGCACACAGTAAACCCTCATGGGCAGCCAGCACCACACGGCCTCGGCCGTAGCGGGCAGCGGCCAGGAAGCAGCCGAGGTTGGCATTCAACCCCAGGGGGAAGGCCAGAGCTCCATGCACCAGCAGCTGTGAAGGGACGCCTCCGGTCTGGATGTCCAGCTCTGGGATCCCTTCCAGAAGTTGCTGCTGATGCCGACTGAAGTCCTCCCCACACCTGCAGAGGACAGAGGACCGAGGGGTCTCAGTCAGCTCGCTGACCGGACAATTCTACATGGGCTAGGAAAACAGCTCATGTTATATTCTCACTCCTGTTAATGGTGGCTTGGATTTTAATATGTAACATGGCGCTGTATCAGGTCTATGTGGTCCAGAGGGTTACGCATTGAGCTGCTAACCCCAAGGTCCACAGTCACCAGAAAGATGAGGCCACCTGTTCTTTAAGGACACGCTAAGGAGCAGCTCTACTCTGGCCCAGTGGTTCGGGAACGTTAAGTGAAATTACAATGTGGTCATATGGTAGACAAAATGATAGAGTGGATAAACACCTTTAAGACTTCATCAAAACTGAGGGGGAAACTTGCCGAACTTTGGATTCTCTTGTAAAAAAAAAAAAAGCTGGTTTTTTGTTTTTGTTTGTTTTTATAAATGTCTTTATGACTAATTTGTGTTTGACTCTTGGCCCAGGGAAGCTACTTTCACTCTTTATTACCATAAAAAGAAAGAAGTGTAGTACTGACAATTAAGCAATGGAATGCCACTAATTGTTTAAAAGTTACAACAGTATGTCTGTCCAAAAGAAACCCAGCCAATGATGCAATGACTCTATTGGATGAGGTTTGTTTGAGCGCAAGAGTCTTGATGCGTGTTGTTGTTGTTGTTAAGTACCGTTGAGTCGGTTCCGACCCATAGTGACCCTTACAGGGTTTCTGAGGGTGTAAATCTTTACGGGAGTAGAAAGCCTCATCTTTCTCCCGCGGAGCGGCTGGTAGTTTCGAACTGCTGACCTTAAGGTTCGCAGCCTGATTCGTAACCACTACCAACCAAAAGTAGAAAGGTGTTCTTCTAAGGATCAGCAGGAATTAGCTTATATTGAGAAAGCACAGAAGCAAAAGAAGCTTGTTTCTGATTGGCTTGTACAGTTTCCTGTTGACGTGCTTTCAGGATCTCATTGGTCAAGTAGCTTCACTATCTTCCCTTGGTGCAGCCGGGAAAATAGGAGGTGCATTCAACTCTTGCTCCTGGGGCTAGAACAGAAGACCTCTGGTTGGTTTATGGACAATGTCCTGCCCAGGGGACAGCATGGGTGGGGGCAGGACAGCAGTCCCCTGGGGGCACTCTGGGCCTACCAGCTGAAGTTTGATGGCAGGGAAACCTGTTTGTCCAGTCCTGAGGCCTCTGACTGAGATTGCTGACAGTAAAGTCCACCGACAACCTCAGAGTGAACAATACTGAGAGGAATCTGGACTTAATACAAGGACCTCCTTGAATTTAAGTCCAGGACCAGCTGGCTCCAGCACAGTTCTGACTGAGGTTGCAAACCTCAGCGCCCCTGATACTGTGTCAGCCCAAACAGGGGCTCCTTGGTGTCCTGTGTTGTTTCAGGGACTCCCCAGGCCACCACCAAGACAAGGAGCAAAGATGACAGGACTGTTGGGGACTGGAGCTCAACAGTGATACAGAAAGTCAGGAAAAACCCAACAGGGTGCTGAAGGCCACTATCCAGTCCTCCCCAGTCTGGGGCGGGAGACAGAAGTGACTCCCTTAGGAATGAGTACACCCCTGGGACTCTGGATCATGTGGATGGGTGGACACCTCAAAATGTCACTAAGACATTGGCAGTAAAGAAGCAGGGCATATTTGTACAGCAACAGGCTTCATGATGACACAGGTGACAGTTTTATCCATACCAGAGCCAGGGTTGGGGAGGTAGTTCTGACGTGTCAGACTGTGACAGTGACCGAGACTCAGGGTTACAGTTCAGCTCTGCAGGGCCCCAAACTCAAACTCTTTGTGCTCTACAATGTGGGGTGGGGCCCACAAATCTGGTCAAGTTTTAAACCAGGGATCCTGGAAGAACTCCTCAACACACACACACACACACACACACACACACACACACACACCAGGGAGCTTCAAAAAGCGTGGGGACAAATGGGTTTAAAAGATCGGGATTTTTTTCCGGAACTTTTTGAAACCCCCTCATCATACAGTGGTCAATGGGCGAAGGTCTTTTGACACAAATCTTAGATGATTTCCTTTCCTGTCCACTGTAGTTTTCAATTGTTGAAGAGTTCTGAAAAGGCAGAGAAATAGCCTTGAAATGTTTTCTTTCAAACTATAAGAATAGAACATTTAAAAAGAACAGAATGTTTTAAAGATGAGAACAGTATTTATCTGGTGTGGCACTATAGGATAGTGTACTGCTAATCACAAGGTTGGCAGTTCAAACCCACCAGCCGCACCTCGGAAACCCTATACAGGGTCACTATGAATCAGAACCAACTCCATGATACTGAACATCAATAACTAAACTACCACCAGAGACATGCTAGTAATATTATGCTATTTTCTTCTAATTTTTATGTTCTTAGCTTTACTCACATTTATGAACAAATCTGATATCATATTGAATCCAGAACTTTATATTTTACTTAACTTTGTCCGTGGTTCCATGAGTATCTTCTTATGCTTTTGACTAATTGGTGAAAACATTATTTTTAATAGCTACATAATCATCCACCCCATAAACTTCAGGAAATACTATACTTTAGGCAACCAGTATCCCATTACAGTCTCTCTATAGATGCAATACACAGGAAACATGGTGGCTCTGTAGATAAACCTGGATTGTGAACCACAACGTCAAAAGTTCAAGCCCACCAGCTGCTACGTGAGGGAGCGAGGAGGTGCTCTGCTCCTGCAGAGATATATAGCCTTGGAAACCCTATGCAGGGTCCTTATGAGTCAGAATCAACTTGACATCATTAACAAGAACAACATATGTAATATACACATGTCAGTGTATCACTTGACAGTGAGAAATTGTTGGGAACATTTATTACTAAGCATTTGCCCCATAGGTCTCATTATCCTTCTGCATAATCCTAACCCTTCCCTTGCCTCACAGGTGGTTCTTCCGAGAGCACAGCTTACAGGACCCCTGCTTGCCATCTCTCTCATAAAGCTGGCTTCCTGGGAAACCTCACCTGCAAGTCGGGACATTTAGTGATACTTGCAAAAGTGCACATTCATTTGTCCTTTGACAGAGAAATTCTGCGTCTAGCGATAAGGCAAAACAACCGGAAACTCAAAGGTCCCTTAACAAGGAACTAATTGAATAAATTATGTTATATATGTGCTATTGTTGTAGTTAGGTGTCATTGAGTAGGTACCAACACATAGCTACCGTCTGCACAACAGAATGAAACACTGCCCGGTCCTGGGCCAACCTCACAATCTTTGCTACATATGAGACCATTGCTGCTGCCACTGTGCCAAGGCATCTCATTTGGGGTCTTCCTCTTTTTCTCTGGCCCTCCCTTTTACTAAAGATGATATCCTTCTCCAGGTACTGGTCCCTCCTGGCAATATACCCAAATTATGAGAGACGAAGTCTCACCATCCTGGCTTCCAAGGAACATTCTGGTTGTAATTCTCCCAACACAGATTGATTTATTTTTTTGGCAGTCCACGGTATTTTTAATAATCTCCTCCAACACCATAATCGAACTGCATCCATTCATCTACAGTCTTCCCTATTCATTGCCCAACTTTCGCATGCATATGTCATATAAGTAAAGCGTGGTATAATTGTTGTTAAGCAACGTTGAGTCCGTTCTGGTACATAGCGACCCTGTATAGGGTTTCCAAGGAGCGGGTGGTGAGTTTGAACAGCTGATCTTGCAGTCTAGTGATTATTCTACAGCACCACACTGGGGCTTGTTACTGTTAGGTGCCATCAGGTCGGCTCCAACTCCTATCAACCTTACGTACAACAAAACGAAGCACCACCCCAATCACAGCCACTGCTGCGTCAATGTTTCTTGTTGAGTCTCCATCTTTTTCACTGACTCTCTGCTTTACCAGTATGATGTCTTTCTCCAGAACCAGTCCCTTTTGATAACATGTCCAAGGAAATGACATGAAATCTTGCCACCTTTGCTTCTAAGGAACATTCCGATTGTACTTCTTCCAAGACAGATTGGTTCATTCTTAAGGCAGACCACTGTATCTATGATATTCTTCACCAACACCTCAATTCTTCTCCATTCTGCCTTATAAACTGTCTAGCTTTCCCAAACATATGAGGCCATTAAAAAGGCTTGGGTACTCCTGTACCTTAATTCTCAAAGTGACGTCTCTGGTTTATCTTTTAAAGTTTTTATTGTGAACTGAGTGAGAGTTTACATGGGAGTAGAGCTTTACCCCGTTTCACTGCATGGTTACAACGTCTTCCATGCATCATCATTCACAGTGTTTGCTTCCATTGCCTCTGTTTTTTTGTTTGTTTGTTTATTTTTTGGGGGGGGAGATGTACACAAAACACTCAGGTATCATTTAATCATTTTGGTTTGTCTTTTAAAGACACTTTTAAGAAATCTTTTACAGCTGATCTGCCTGATGCCATATTCCTTTTTTTCCCTTGACTGCTGCTTCCAATGATGTTGGTTGTGGATCCAAGGAAAACGAAATCCTTGACAACGTCCATCTTTTCTCCATTTATCATGATTTTGCTTATTGCTATAGTTGTGAAAGTTTTTGTTTTCTTTGTGTTGAGGTGTAGTCCGTACTGAAGACTATGTAGTGTTTGAGTTTCATTGTTGTTGTTAAGTGCCATCGAGTCGATTCCGATCCATAACAACCCTGTATAGGGTTTCCGAGGAGCAGCTGGTGAGCTTGAACTGCCAATCATGCAGTTCAAACGGCTTTGCAGTCTGGCGTATTAACCCACAGCGCCACCCCAGGACTCCTTGAGCTTCATTGGTAACTGCTTTAAATCCTCTTCACAAGCAAGGTTGTATTTTCTGCATATTATAGGTTGTGAATGAGTCTTCCTCCAATCCTGATGCCACATTCTTCTTCATATAATCCAGCATTTCTAATTATTTGCTCAACATACAGATTGAGCAAGTATGTATGGTAGAAGGAGACAACCCTGGTGCACACCTTTCCTGATTTTAAACCATTCAGTATCCCTTTGTTCTGTTCTAACAACTGCTGCTTGGTCTAAGTACAGGTTCCTCACGAGCACAAGTAAGTGTTCTGGAATACCGGTTCTTTGCAATGCTACCCATAGCTCATCATGATCATATAAACCTCACCACAGGGTAATACATAGTTGATGAAGGGGAGCGGTTTTATAGATGCATTCCAAACAATAAAAAGAAATGAGAAAGTTACCATTTAATAACCAGGAAAGAATCAATGGCTCTTAGGCTAAGCAATGATTACCAATGAATGACTGCTGATGTCCTTGTAAGAGGGAAAATGAGAGACTATATATTTTCTTACAGAAGTGCACATCACCATCTACAATTCAAACCTGAGTCTATCAACCCTTGGGGGTTGATCAACTTTTTTTCAAATCTCTGGCCTGTGGGCCATATGGTCTCTGTAAAAACGGGTCCACTCTGTTGTTACAGCTGGCCAGCATCCAGACAATAAATGAATGAAGGGGTATTCTAAAGACATTTATACTTATATGTATTTATATGGTCACAGGGTTTTGAAATGGATCAGGTTAACCCTCTTTTGGTGCCTGGCAGAGGGATGGTAAGAGAGAATTTCTGGAAGACAGCTGCTTGCTCATAGTGCTCAGAATGAAATGTGTGGTCAGTGGCGGGTGTGCATTGAGCAAGGACTTGAGCTACTCTTGATTGTGAGGTTTGGTGGTACAAAAAGAATGTGCACCTACTTCTTGTTGGAGGTGTAAGTGCTTGTTGAATTGGATTTGGTTGGTGTGACTCTCTCCCATTTTGTAATAGTTACTGTCACCCATTTCTTTTGTCTTATCTGTGATTTAGAGTTTTACGCTTGTAAACTAACATTCACTTGGCCAGTAAAATTTGGGGCTGGCCAGTATTGTATCTCTAGTTGCTCTATTAAAGAGCCCTGGTAGTGCAAAGATTAAGTTCTTGGCTGCTTAACCACAAAGTTGGCAGTTCTAATCCACTGAGTGGTTCTGAGGAAGCGCAAGCTGGTGATCTGCTTCTGTGAGATTCCGTGGAGAAAACCTTCAGGTTTTTGTTTTTTTTTAACCGTCACAGGGGTTGCTGTGCGTTGGAATTGTCTGGGTAACATCCCAACAAGAGTAGGAAAATTAACCCTTTCAGAGTACCCACCTACATTTTCTGCTTCTGGGGTTTATCGGGCAGCTATCTTCCCACTGGTAGTGCATCAGTGGGGGGAGCTGCATAAATGTCTGAAATGGGAGAATGGGTGCGGGCCAGAAATGGTTGTTTTTACAGGGGCTGCATCCCGGAAGTATCATTTCATAAAACTTTTGTCTCTTTTGGCTTTTTTACTGAAAAATAAGCCTTGTGGTTACAAATCAAGCTGCTAATCTCATCTCAGGGTCAGCAGTTCAAAACTACCAGCCGCTCCGCGGGAGAAAGATGAGGCTTTCTACTCCCGTAAAGATTTACAGCCTTGGAAACCCTGTTCAGGGTCGCTATGGGTCAGAACCGACTCGACGGCACATAACAACAAAACAATGAAATTTTATTTACAAAGCCAGATAGCCCTATTTGCTAGTCCCTGCTCTAGAAACCAGCTCTAACTCCCAGTTTACAAGAAATGCAGGGAACAAAGGAGCAGACGAAATGACACCACAGAAAAGTTCAGAAGGAGGGAAACTCTCCTGGATAAAGGATGCGTATCCTCAACAACAAACGGCAGAAAATCCAAAGAGAAGGAAAGGAAACTTCAACGGCACAAGACATGTAACTGTCTGATCAAGCAGCCCAAACATTTCAACACCAATTCCTATGAGTTTGAAAATCAACTTTAGACAATTCTAGAACTGACTAAGATATTGAGGATTATTGGAACATTTAAGATGAAAGGTAGATGGCTGTGCTTTGCATAATTTGGTGACACAAGTAAGGCTGTTGTAGGCTTGGGTGAAGCTTACCTGAGGTATCCCAGAACTAGTCTTTCTACTTTGGTCCATGCTTGAAATTTCCCATAATGAAAAGTTAAAACAACAAACAAACCCACAACAGTCCTCCGATCCAGTGGCAGAGGTGAGAAATTTAGTTGTAGTGAAGAAAAACAGGTTTAGTTGGCTGAAGAGGATCATCCTTTGGCAATTAGGAGGCATTAGACTAATGGGAGAAAGCTATGTGCCCCTTAGTAGCAGGGGCAAGACAAGCTAGCGTGAGTCAGATCCGCCACAGAGCACCACACCACCTCCCACCCTCCAGATGGAAAAGGCTCAGGGCATGCCCAGCTCAGATCTGTGGGGTCAGGGCAGGAGGGGGCCAGGGCTGAGGGGCCAGGGCAGGACAAGGTCAGGGCCGAGGGGCCAGGGCAGGGCAGGGCAGGGCCTGGACCTGAGGCCCCCACATCCCTTACTCTGCTTTGCTTCCTCTCCTAGCTCTTACCAACACCTGGTCTAGAAAGTATCTATCACCTTAATTACCTAATTCTCCGCTAGAATACGAGGTTCCTAGAGCAGGCTTCTTTGACCTCTGCCATATCCCAATGCCCACAGGGGACCAGGAACAGAGCTCTGGTAGCATAGTGGTTACGAATCGGGCTGCGAGCCGCAGGTCAGCAGTTCGAAACTACCAGCGGTTCCGCAGGAGAAAGATGAGGCAGTCTGCTCCCGTAAAGATTTACAGCCTCAAAAACCCTGTACAGGGTCGCTATGAGTCAGAACTGACTCCACGGCACATAACAACAACAACAACAACATTCATTAGCACAAGTATTTTCTACATTCCAAGCACTGAAGTTGTCAAGAATTTCTTTGTACTTGAATCAATCATGAAAATCAGTACCCTTGGAAGCAGCAGTCAAGAAATCAAATGACAATTTGGATTGCACTGGGCAGTTATGCTGCAAAAGATCATTTTAAAGTGTTAAGAAGCAAAGATGTCACTGTGATGACTAAGGCGCACCTGACCCAAACCATGGTCTTAGCAATGGTTTTATATGCAGAAGAAAGCTGGGCAATGAGTAAGGCAGACCACAGAAGAATTGGTACATTTGCACTGTGCTGATGAGGAAGAATGCTGAGTTGACAGGATGGACTGACAGAAGGGAATCTGTCTTAAAAGAAGCACAGCCAGAAAGCTCCTTAGAAGTGAGGAGGCTGAGACTTCAGCTCACTAACTGTGGACACGTCATCAGAAAAGGACGTCATGGCTGGTCAAGTAGAGGGCCAGTGAAAACAAGGGACCCCCTTAAAGAGATGGTCTAACACAACAGCCACAACAATGTGCTCAAACACAACTGCAATCATGAAGCTGGAGCAGGACAGGAGACCTTTTGTTCTGCTCTACACAAGTTCACTCAATGACGACGCACAACATGTTCCAGGCACAGGCCCTGGGAGATGGAATGGTGACTAAGACACACTTTCCTATGGAGATGACCATGACTGGCCACTCATCATGATACAGCTCCTCTTACACAGCAAGGCTCTCGAGTCATCCAGGATTTGATGTGTTCTGATTCCAACACGGAGAGGAAAATCTCTGGTATGAAAATGAAGCTCACTGAAGTGGGGAAGGGCAAGGTCAGATCTCTTGCCTTATATGAGTCAGACTCCTCATCAGAAGAACGCCACTCACCTGACCTGAAGTGGGATCTTGGGCACCTTCTTTGAGACTTTGAACCGGCCTTTGTCCCCATAGGTGTCAGTGAAGTACACCCCGGCCACACTTGTCACCTGGTTCCCAGGGAACTTGGACAGCACCTGGTCACAACCATGTTGACTGGCCCAATACCAGGCTTGGCCCCCGATGAGCACACCCCCTCCACGCTTCACAAACTGGACCAGCTTCTCAGTCAAGGTGTCACTGTAGGCATTCATGCAGAAAACTCCCAAGGGCTCTCCTGGTTCTGCCTCAACTTGTGCTTGGACTCCAGATTTCTGAAGGAGGCTCACGAGGGGTGCCAGGGATGGGTGCACACCGATGGGAGCTCCCGGGGTGAGGCAGAGCCAGCGCGCTGCATTGACAAGGAATGGAGCCAACCCAGGGACCACCAGGTAGCCTTCATGGGACACCACCACCAGGCGGCCCTGGCCATAGGAGGAGGCAGCGATGAGGACCTGGCCTTTGTCGTTCACCATCACCGGGAAGGCAGCCTCTCCAGTCAGAAGCAGTTCACAGGGCACGGGAGTTGGGGGAACATCCCAGCTCGTCACCCCATTCATGAGGATCTCGAAGGCAGCATCAGGAGTTGCCATGGCTTCTGCAGAGGGAAAAGGACACTCAGCCTGGTTGGAACATACAGAGGGAACAAGCAGACAACAGCATTGTTCACTCAAACATCATGCACTGGGCTTCCCATTGCGTGCCAAGCTCTGCTGCAGCACTGGGTTCACTCCATTCCCTGTTCTCAGGAATCTGATATTTCAGAGCAGGAAGATGGTCCATAAGTCAGTACATCACCAGACAAACCAAACACAGCAAGTGATTATTTCTATAATGAGAAGACTGGGGTGGCTGGAAGGCTACTCGGGTTGGCTGACAAGAAAAGCCTCTGTGAACTAGAGACATCAAGCTGAAACCAGCAATGCAGGAGAAATGCCTTCCTGCTGATTCCTGAGACAAGAAGGTAAGAGTTAGAGAAAGAGTGCTTGGCTGGAGAGAGGCATGGATGAGGGGAAGGAATCCGGAAACCCAGGTGGGAAGGAGGGTTCTGGGACCTGGCTGATCCTGGCTGGCCAACTGGGTTGCTGGAGGAGAGGTAAGTTGCTATTTTATGTCTTTGGGCAGAAGGTCAGAGACCTGCTTGGAACTTTTAGGTGCTCAAGGAGTTTTCAGCTAAGCTATGAGGCTCCACCTCCGTTAGCATTTCATTCTGAGTTTTCTGTCGTCTTAAAACTCAGTGTCTACACTGGGCTTTTTAGTGCCTTCAAAGCAGCTGACTGGGAAAATGCTTCACCTCCAGTCTCAAGTCTGTAAAGGAGAGATCTGGTCCCTGCAGGAGTGAGTGTTAGCCCAGGCTGGGAGCTCACAGGTGAGGGCCTGACACAGCTAGGTCTGAGAAAATGTAAGCACCTGCCCCCTAATACCCCTACTTAGCAAGGACCACAAGCCCAGCCTGAAGGCCCAGGTATGGGGCATCTCCCACCCACTCCTGTGCTCTAGGGTCTCTGAGTTGAAGGAGCTGGGAGGCTGACACTGGCCAGCTCTACCCAGTGGATGGAGTCCACCCCTTCCAACAACTCTGCAATGGAGCCCTGGGGCCTGGCTTCACTTGCAGAGAATGGAACCGCGTCAGGTTCCCCCCACCCCCCCGTGTCAGGCTAGCCTCCTTCTTGCGTCCTGGTCCGGGCTAGCCAGCGGGTGCCCGGCTAGCCTGTCCACTCGTGGGCCCCAGACTGTCTCCTCTACGGTCTCCCCCATCCTCTCCTTGATCAGCCCGGACCCTGGGGAACAAAGTGCGCCCTCCGGTCCCTGTCCCCAGTGACCCAGGAGCCCCGAGTGCTGGGGACCGAGTCAGGGTGGTGGAGAAGAAGGACATAGCCCGGAAGCAGGGGTAGACAAGGCCGTACTAGCCCGGGCCCCCGCATCCCACCTCCCAGAAGCCGCCCGCGCTCCGGTCGCAGTCACCTGGGACAGGCGGGGATCCGACAGGCTTTTGCGGACGCGGCGGCGCTCAGCGAGAAAACCGGGGAGCGGGGACAACCGGATCTGTCTTCTCTGTGATCCGTCCCCGGTCCCGGATACTCCACCTGGGCGATGCCCTTCTCCAGGACGCGTGCACCTGGGCGGAGCTTGGACGGGACTCGGAGTCGAAGAAAAAGTGGGGTGGTGTCCGGGTCCCTGCCTCCCTTTTCTCTCCCACTCGGGTCCCTCCTAGCAAAGCACCTCCTCCCAGCGCACCTAGGCGGCGCCACCCTAGGACCCGCAAAGCCAAGTCACCAGCTGGGCGGGGTTCTGGGTCGAGGGTGACCCCTAGTGGCGATCAAGGGTCCATGCATTGTCCGGGACGTTCGCCGTCCCAGGGATCTGACCTAAGTGGGCAGTCTACGTAGAAGCCCTGGCCGGATCTTCCTGCTTGGCAGTAAGCTGACCCGAGTTGTAGTGCTCTGGGCTGCTCGCTGCTCCTTCACGCAGAGGGATGAGCCCCGGGGACTTGGATGCCGAGTGTTTCTGTACAACTCCGCTTAGCGGACGGTCGGACCGTGTTTCTCCTCGAGAGGTTCCTGGTGTGGCGTTGAACTGTAATGTCGGCGGTTCAGGCTCACCAGCTGCTCCTTGGAAACCCTATACAGGGTCGCTGTGGGTGGGACCCTACTCAACGGCACTTAATAACAACAAGAGAGGGTCTTTTTGGCTTTTTTTTTTTTACGGGGATGAAGAGGACAGACAAGAGGTGCGATGATTCTGGTTAGGAGTCTTCCCCTAAGTCCTGGTCATAGTTCTGAAGTTATCAGATGTGTAAATAGTTTCCTGGTTTCTCTTCATCAGCACTTTTGGAAGCCACCAATGTCCCAGTTGAATGCTAACCTGTGACTCGCTCCTGTTCTGTCTCAGAGGGAGGCCCTTCCCCCACCCCCGGGCTCTCAGGTCCTCTTCCGGAGCGGCTGGCTGCCCACCTACTCTCAGCTTTGATCTCCCTCTGATTTCTTTAGGAACTGAACCCAAGCTTTGGCTAAACTCTTCCTACCATTTCCTTGCAGCTCAGCCTTAACTTTGCTGAGATCCAACCTGTCCTCCCCTTTCCAAGACCACATCCCTGACTTGCCCCAGAGTGAAGTTTCAAAGACCAGTGCAATGTTCTGTAGCACTGGGTTGGTGCAAGAGGGATCCGCAGGAAGTGAAGGGTTGTCAGCATTGCCAAGTTTGCACTAAGCTGCAGGAAGTGGGGGCGATTAGTGGACACCGGCGGTACTGCAATGGGAGGGGCTTCTACTGCTTCCCAACAAGGCACCGACAGACCTCTAAAGAGATACTTCTTAGGAATCCCTGGAACCACCTGGCAGAGTTTACCATAATCTCCATTTGTGCGGGACCAGAAATTTATGTTTTTAACTCTGCCCATTTGCTGATCTGCTTTTGTTGTTGTTAGGATAAGAATATATTTGCAAGACTCACTTTCACAACAAGGAGGGCGTGTTTTCATTTTACTTATTGCTAGGCTCTGGTAGCGTAGTGGTTACGAATCGGGCTGTGAACCGCAAGGTTAGCAGTTCGAAACTACCAGTCGCTCCGCGGGAGAAAGATGAGGCTTTCTACTCCCCTAAAGATTTACACCCTCGGAAACCCTGTACAGGGTCGCTATGAGTCGGTTCCGACTCCACGGCACTTAACAACCACAACAACAGGCAAAATAATCATTGAAAAAATTAATTTTCAGAGTTTAAAAATGTTGGTAATAGTCAACACCAAGCGAGGAAACTGAATGGTTTCAAGCTTTGGTGGTGAGATCCTGAAAGGATGCATTTTTGAAAGATAAACTGGAGCTATTTATCAAATGTATTTCAATCTTTCTACATTATTGCTAAGTGCTGGTTTGACTCACAGCAACCCTGTATAGGGTTTCCGAGGAGCAGCTGGTGGATTTGAACTGCTGACCTTGTGGTTTGTAGTCCAGTGCTGATCCTACAGCGCCACACCAAGAATCCTTTCTACCTACCTACCTATTTATCTGGAGTCCTGGTGTGGCGCTGTAGGATAAGCGCTGGATCCCTAATTACAAGGTCAGTGGTTCAAACCCACCAGTCACTCCTTAGAAACCCTATACAGGGCTGCTGTGAGCCAGAACCAACTAGATAGCATCTAACAAAAACACCCACTTATTTACTTACTTTCTTTTCTGTCTAGTAATCCCATTTTAAACATTCATTCAATGACCAACATGACAGTACATTGTCACAAGTGTGGTTCCTGCAAGGATTTTTCCTTGCTCTTACTGTTGGAAACCTGACGACATTGGTCCTCAGGCAAAAGGTTCCCTGCACAGACCCAGCTATATACTCACTTCTTCAACAGACTCGTTTTGAGTATTTGTTATATACTTATTCATTTATTCAGGATGCATTTATTTATTTAAACCATCATTGGTAAGCACAGACAGACTTGTAGGTCCTGAAGTCCAGTGAGAGAGAAGCACTATATTCAAGTGACCAATCACGTAGAATTGCTACTGTGGTGAGTAGCAAGGTGGGGCATTTGCTGGTGTCAGAAGAAGGGTTAGTGGGGTTGAGCTGAGATGCAAGAAAGAATAGGGGTTTCCGAGGAGAAGACAATACCACTGAGACAGGAGAGTGTCCATCTGCCAATAAGTGTAATATGAACCCACAGGCTGGAAGCTGGGAGAGAAGAGGAACCACAGTGTGGGGTTCAGTGGGGTCATGCCACAGGGAGGTAACAGAGCTCTGTGTGTATTGGGGGGTCCATGGGGGTACACAGAATGATCAACGTAGTGATCAGAATTATACTTTGTAAGAAGCACCCACTACAGTGGGAACCTGGGTGAAAAACGATACAAGTCGTCCCCAAGACCACCCTCAGACTCATCATTCTCTTGAAGGACCCGCAGGGCCCAGAAGCTGCCATGCCCAGGCTCATACTGTTTTACAGTGAAAGGACATGAAGTTCGGCCACAGGAAGGGGCCAGGGGGTGAGGTCCAGGGGAAATCAGAGCACATGTCCAGGTATCCCCTTCTGGCAGAGCCACTTGGGTACACACTTAATGACAACATATATGAAGTGGTTGACCCGGGAAGCTGGTGTCTGAGTTTGTTAATGGAAGTCATCATGTAGCTGCAGCCTCACTCAGCACCCTGCCCCACCCCACAGGAAACCACACTGTTAGGATAGACTATGTGTCCAAGCATGTGGCATGAAGTCTCAGGCATCCATAGACAGACTATTCCAAGGGCTCAGAGCTCAGCTTCCAGGAGCCAGAAGGGCCAGTCCTAAAGGCGGAATGTGCAGGAGACCAAGCGAGGGGGTCAGAGAAGTTCCTCATCAAAGCTGAGTTCAGTGTCTCTTATGTGTCTGGTTGCTTAGCATGTGTAACCAGTCTGTGCTTATATAAATTCCACTCTTGTGGTAAAGTATTGACACTGTATAGGGTTTCCAAGGAGCAGCTGGTGGGTTTGAACCACCAACCTTGCAGTTAGCCGTCCGGTGCTGTCCTATAGCACGACACGAGGACTGCCACTGTTCTAAAAGGGCCCCTAACAATACTTGGGCGTTGCTCCAGCAGAAGTTGTTGTTGTGAAGTGCC